CCCCACCAAGACCGATCAAGCAACAAATAGATATCATTGGTGAGCTTGCATATGTCAGTGAAACACCCCTGGCTCCGCTCATGTAGATAAAAATCAACTGCGATCTTAGCCCAAAGGGTGTTATCCAGAATTGTGTCCGGTAGTTGTTTCCTCTCCTCTTCAGATACCGGTATGGTACTGGCCGGTAACTCATACGAGAGCCAACTTGAATCCATCATGTCCGGCACGTCAGAGGGTTTCTCAAGAAGCCTACATATGACGCCATGTGAATCGGGCTCTTGAATGGTGGGAGGGACCTCTTCAATGATGACAGTGGCCTCTTGAACGGTGGGAGGGGACTCTCGAGGAATGATAGGGGGGGCCTCTTCAACGATAGGAGTGGACTCTTGAGGGATGACAGGCGAGTCGGGCTTCTTCTTGCGGTGTCTTCGCACTATTGGGGTGTACGGAGACTTAATAGCACGTGCACGCTGTCTGATGCGTGAACTCCGTCGTGCAAGCATAACCCGACGTAAAGCATCCACTCTATCGGGCCGCTAAATAATTAAATACAAAAATCAGTAAATAAACAGACATGATATTTAAACAGTGAAAACAAAGACAAATATGTTTCAAACTTGCATTGTATTCACCCAAGTCATTATTCTATCATAGTTCACAAAATGCATCAGATAACAAAGAAAAATATGTTTCAAACTAATACCCTGAAGTTAGTATTTGTCTTTGTTTTGTCTATTGGTTGAAGTAATGCAATCCATTCAAGTTTCAATTTGCAGAAGAAGAAATAGTTTACTTTCGCAACACGAAACTTAAAATCGCAACGCGAAATGAGAATCGCAACGAGAAACCAAAATCGCAACGCGAAATGAAAATCGCAACGACAGAATCGCAATGCGAAATGAAAATCGCAACAAGAGAATCGCAACGCGAAATGAAAATCGCAATGCGATTTTGGTTTCGCGTTGCGATTTTGTCGTTGCGATTCTGGTTTCGCGTTGCGATTTTCATTTCGCGTTGCGATTTTAAGTTTCGTGTTGCGAAAGTAAACTATTTCTTCTTCTGCAAATTGAAACTTGAATGGATTGCATTACTTCAACCAATAGACAAAACAAAGACAAATACTGACTTCAGGGTATTAGTTTAGCAGAATTGGCAGCAACCGAACAAATTTACTTTCAACCAAAAGACAAAACAAAGACAAATACTATTTCACAGTGTTAAAGAATACACAGTTTAGCAGAATTGGCAGCAACCGAACAAATTTACTTTCAACCAAAAGACAAAACAAAGACAAATATTATTTCACAGTGTTAAAGAATACACAGTTTAGCAGAATTGGCAGCAACCGAACAAATTTACTTTCAACCAAAAGACAAAACAAAGACAAATACTATTTCACAGTGTTAAAGAATACACAGTTTAGCAGAATTGGCAGCAACCGAACAAATTTACTAAGCAATCTAAGTGAAATGGCTAATCTAAATGAAATTACGAGTAAATTTATCATTAAGTTAAATATGGAAAATCTTAAACTTACCTCGTTGCGTAGAGTATGAACCTCATTCTGCAACGATACTATCATCTCACGTAGAGCGACAACCTCACCACGTAAAGTTGACACCTCCACACGCCATGCACCATCGTTATCGCGTAGAGTACCGATCTCCTCACGCAAGGCATTGACCTCATCACGTAACTCATCCCGTGGAGGTGGAGAACAAGGAGATAAATGTCGTGGCCTCTTTACCGGTCGCCTATCATGAGGTGATGGTGGAGAAGAGGCTCGATGATGTGACGGGATAGGTGATGGCTCTCGTTCTAGAGGTGTATAGTCGGGTCGATCGGGTGATGGCTCTGGGTGAGGTGATGGCTCTCGAATTGGAGGAAGTGGATGCTGCTCATCATCCGTGCCATCAAAAAAACTCTGACTAGCTTGCCACCAATCAGTGGCAAGCTCTTCCTCCGTGGGTGTCAGTCTTTGTAATGGAATGTTGGCCTCCTAACAATATAAAAACTCAAACAAAGTTAAACGTCTACTATTAATAACTTGTTTATATATATATGAAAGTATTTGTGTTAACTTACATTATTTATTGTCGCATATGGTATTAAGTCTTCCCAATCCAACAGATTTTTCCTCTTCTAGGAAATAGCCCTGGGAATATCATTTGACGTTTTTATTGCATATGTACGCATGCTGGGGAAAGCCTCGAATATCCAAATCTACAAACAATATAATAACAAAATTAGTAATTGTTAAATAATTAATTATAATTTTAGAAACATTATATAGAAATTCTTACCTTAAAGGCCCAAACAAAGCCTGACAAAGTGTATTTCGACCCATCGCCACGCAAACTTTTGTGGTCATCAAAGGCAGTAGACAACTTAGTCCAGGTAGCTTTCCATATATACGAACCCCACGGAAACAGATTCCATGCATTCAGGTCCTCTACCAATATTATTAGCTCCCGAGGAATAGGTTGTCTGGCCTCTCTGCCTAAAAAGCCGGCATACACAAGTAGTAGAAGGCATACTCGGACAACATCGACGTCATCCATCCGAGTGAAACCAGCTTTTTTATTAAACAATTTCTTCAGGTCGTCGACGTGTAGGTTCGGCTTCTCCATTGACTCATCCGGAAAAACCCGGGATAACCATGATGGGCGGGCGATATGACGAGTGTACCGGCCTACATCATCGTGTCCGAATCGTAGACCAGTGATTAAGCAGAACTCCTTCCGCCCAAAACAAGTATACGCTGGTGGAAAATGAAACCATATCTCTTCCTCACCACGTTGTATACTGTCGGGTAGATTTGATGTCATGGTCTGAAGCCACAAATGGGTCAAATTAGCATCTCCACCCGGATGTTGTACTCTCAGCCATGGCCCGAAGCAGGTTTCCTCAAACAATTGTCTTTGTGCAGGTGAAAGCTTCGAAGCAATTGTAGTGGCTAGGCTAACTTTATTCCTTAATGTCAATGAAGCCGAAAAAAATTTCTACAAAAACAATAAACATACCAAGTTAGATATACCAAAAACTACACTGTGAAGATATACCAAAAACAATAAACATAAAAAATAGTAGTTTATTCTTGAAACTAAAATTTGCAACATTGTTTTGTCTTTTGGTTGAAATGAAAATCGCAACGAGAGAATGACTGTCGCAACGAGAGAAATGAAAATCGCAACGAGAGAATCGCAACGCGAAATGAAAATCGCAACGAGAGAATCGCAACGCGAAATGAAATCGCAATGCGATTTTGGTTTCGCGTTGCGATTCTCTCGTTGCGATTTTCATTTCGCATTGCGATTCTCTCGTTGCGATTTTCATTTTTCTCGTTGCAGATAGTCATTTTCACGTTGCGATTTTCATTTATCTCGTTGCGACTCTTCTGCAAATTGAAACTTGAATGGATTGCATTACTTCAACCAAAAGACAGAACAAAGACAAAGACAAATACTAACTTGAAAATCGCAACGAGAGAATAGCAACGCGAAATGAAAATCGCAACGAGAGAATAACAACGCGAAATGAAAATCGCAACGAGAGAATCGTAACGCGAAATGAAATCTAAGTGAAATGGTTAATCTATTATTGAAATGACCAGTAAACTTATCATCAGTTTCAATATGAAAAACCTACAATAATGCAAAAATTTCAAAATAAAAATAATTAAAAAAACTAACCCTCGGAGGTTGATTTTCCATTTCTGAATATTGTGAGGGATTTCTGACCGTGAATGGTTGTGAGGGATTTCGCCGGAGATGGGGACGGAAATCTTCGGAGATGGGGATGGATTTCGCCGTAGAGAGTGAGAGATGGAGATGGGACTGAGTTGTGATTTTAGGTTTTAGGTTATGAGTTGTGATTACGGGATTTTGTCTTAATATTCGTTTTTGTAATTTGAAAATAAAATACGCGTAGCGATTATAATGGCGCTTTAAAAATCGCGTTGCGATTTACGGATACGCGTTGCGATTTTACGTATTGTCGTTGCGATTTACGGATACGCGTTGCGATATACGGATACGCATTGCGATTTACGGATACGCGTTGCGATTTACGGATACACGTTGCGATTTACGGATACGCGTTGCGATTTATGTGTTCGCGTTGCGATTTTCATATTCGCGTTGCGATTCTGGAAAATCGCAATGCGAATTTGTACTATCGCATTGCGATTGTCAAGAATCGCGTTGCGATTTTGGAAACTGATTTGCGATTCTGGGGATCGCGTTGCGATTTTTATTTCGCGTTGCGATTTTGTTGGTCATTTTGGCAAATCCAAAAAAAGTTGATTAAAATCGTATATTATAAGACATTTTTGGTCACTGAGGCAATTTTCTCTTATTTTAAATATCGATAATGATATATAGTTTTATACTGTATCGATAGGTTAAATATAAATAAAATAATAAAATTGAAAATGGAACGGTGGGAGGAAAAGGCCAAGAGTTTGAGGAGAAAACCGTGGGCGGCTTCGTTGGGTTTTCTAAACCGACTCGGAAGTGATGTATTCGACAGTCGATCAATAAGTTGATGTGATTAAATATAATAATGGCAACTGGATTATCATCTGTGATCCCCGTGATTATTAATTAACTAGTTATTATAATATATTTTATTTAACAAACAAACAAATGACTCTATGAGTTGAAGCAGACAAATTACTCAAAATTCAATTCATTTGTTGTACAATAATGCTATTATCGAATATTTTTATTCTTTTAAATAATTTTATTTTGTTATTGTAATGCTTCTGTATTCATATGCTTTAGGCAGTATTCAGTAGGACCTCTTCACCTATAGAATGATCACTAGAATGTATGCTCATACACTCATTGACCTGATAATTTATTCAGCTGATAAATTGACCAAAACTAATATAGGAAGATAATTCGAGCCTCTGCACTATTCGATCCATATCACTGAAATTGTATGACTTGTATCATCTTCGTATTGAAATGATTGATAAACAATGAGCCACGAAAAGAAAAATCATGCAAGCTGGTGGTATTTTACATATATTTCATAGTTCCTCTTTTCTAAGCAGAGTTTCTTACATGATATAGTGGGAGTGAAATAGCCGACTTTTCCCGGACAAAACAAAATTCAAATACAACAATAGCATAGTAAAAAAGAAACAAGAGAGAAGCAAATTTCATCTCTATGGCAGCTGGACGAGTTCACTATTCCTCCAGGTATCGTGAGTAAAAAAATAAATAAAAAAAGGTATTTACATCTATGACTATGAGCTACTGTTCCGAAACGGTTGTGAAGGACATCTATCTTCTTCAATGGTGGATTGCGGGTTCATGATCTTAAGAAGAGATCGATATTGTAGACGAACATTCTCCCCACTTCCAATGATCTTAAGCAAATACCTGCAAGAATTTTCATGAAAACTATGGAAACTTTCACCACTGATAGCGCTAAGCACCGGTACTCTCTCTGATCAGTTGACAAGTATACTTAAAATCTCTTGTTAAAGGTAAATTTCTAAAGAAATTTAAAAGTTGTGCTCAACCACAAAACATCATGATGCTAATTGAGAGATTAGATTACTTAATCTTCTATTTTGTTGCTAATGCTGTATCTATGAGGCTTAATTTTAATATTTTATAAATCAAGAAGTTATATTTGGTTTTCTACATTTACATTAGGATTTGGTATCTTAATTTGCATTCCTTATCCACTTAAGTTTTGTGCATCAGTAACAGCAAATCTCGGATCAAACCAACTCACCAGCCATTGAGACATTGGGATGTAATAATGGCTTCCTTTCCAACAAACTTTTCCGGTGTCCGTTTGTTTCCCTATACAATCAGTGTTCATTCCATTTCAAATTTCAATCTAATATTTAAGTCGGAAAAGTAATCATCAAATTTTGCAATAAATAGATGGCAAATGCACACACCTTAATTAACACCTTCTCGTTCACCAAAAATGGATATTGCACACCCCTATGCAACCCATTGTCCGCACCAATCTCTCCATTCTCCTACAGAAAAGCATTTGATGAGTATCAGATTTGAAGTTGAAAACAACTCTTAACAAATACATTTGGAAAGTTCAATGCGAGTGTGCTAAAAGCATTTTGAATAAAATTCATTTCAATTATCCCCTTTTTTCTTCAAACATTTAAAATGATTTCATAAGAAATTAAGAACTAAAATCCCAAAAGCAACAATCAACAGCTCAGCTTATCCTACCGGACTTCTAATGACTATTGCAACACTAAGCTACAGGATAGGAAGTTCACAAAGATGCATCGATGTAAAAATCAATTCACACCAAGTAGCCAGGTTGAATAATTAAATCATGTGATTCTTTTATTTTAGCACAACAAAGTAAATAAGTCAGATAATGCATTTCACTAGGATCCATTCCCCCTTTCCATGATAATAAAGACCATTTCCTAGATAATTACCAGATTTCAAGTAGCAGAACTGCTAAACTTAGTAAATTCAAGCAACTTTTGCCCATACAGAAAACCATGCATTTCCTCCCATTTGCATTTGCAAATAAACTGAGTTTTTAATATCCCCATCATGCACATGACAATTTATGCATGCCAAACAAAAGTTTGAAAGGATTATATCAAGAAAATTATTGAGAGTATACCATGCTTGATCTCTTGGATATATCAATTTGGACACCCATCTCCTTTCGTTTCTTACGGAGAGCTGCATTATGGAATAGCCTTCTATTTTCCTCTTGCTTCACAGCTGCAGCAGCAGCTTTTAAAGGGGAGAAAAAAGGGAAATGGAGACAAAACACACACAGGGAAATCAAATTGCTAAAAAAGAAAAGAGGGAGAGAAGTGAGATAGAATTAAGCGAAACATAACAAAACTACGCACAACAGGCTGGAGAAAACTAATGAAATTATCAGAATGTACCAATATTAGGGATCAATGATCCAGAGTCGATGTCTGCACTGCAAAGCGTACATCTTGACTGTGATGCAAACAACAAATGTAGTTATATTTCTTGTCTCTTCCCATCTAAAGGTAATAAATCCATTGTAAACAGTAGTGAAAATAAATAGCAGTGACTATCAATGACGAGCCATGACATACAAAGCAGCAGAAATCTAGTCAGAAAATTAAATAAAAGCAGACAATCTTTTGCACGTCTGTGTACAAGCATAAATAGAAACAAACAATAGATGCATGATAACATGAAAATAGCTTCAATATGCCACAAAATGAAAACATCTCCTTTACATCAAAAGTTCTTAGCAGAACACTTGGCCTTTCAGATTTATATTTTAACTTCTCTATTATATGAGTTTGCAGATTGCCTGATTAGAATTTCACACCATTTTTGGCAATAAAATAATCAAATGGAATTTAACACACTTTGGTGTGGTCAAATACCTCCAAGTTTGAGAAAACATACATTTATTTATCTAACTTGTATCTTAAGAATTCCTTCCATAAAAAATACAGCAGCTTTCAACTTGCTGAAATCTTTTGGCCTAAAAGGGTTTTAGTTTTTTCCTCAATAAAATTAAATGCAACTGCCTCCTAGCATGTCTTGAGAGTTAAAAGACTAGTTAAATTTCAAATTAATAGGTGTAGCCTTTGTCTACCTCCCAGTTGCTCTCTTTCCTAAGGACAAGAAGACGTTAGTATTAGTGTTGGCCGTAGAGCATTCCAAGCTCCCGGAAAAGAGAAATGCTGTTGTTATTCTTTTACCAAATAATCTATTCAATGTCTATTTTTGTAACTCATCCTGAAGTTAAACAATGATTCACCTCTATATCCCCAAGAAAGATGAGAACTGTCATTTTGTTGTGTAATCCATGCGGCCTGAAAACACAGTAACATTTCTGTTTTTCTTAATTGTAGTATTCTGCTTACCATATCAAGGACCCTCCTCAGCATGAGACCACCAAATGAATGTCCACAAGAAACAACCATAGCATCTTCAAGGAATGCACCACTATGAATCAAGGTAAAACCAAAAAAATAAATCAGCAGTGTCCTTCCATGGTACATGTGTAAAGAGAAATGTATCAACATGAATGGTGGATGCAGTGCCAATTAAGCACAAAATGAGAAAAGCAATTTTAAGGTCTATCATACATAAGGGAGAAAAGCCTAGAAAAGTCCTATAAAAGATGTGAGTTAATGAAAGATGCCCCAGTTCAAAGGTGGAGGTAAAGACTAGGGAAAACATGAGTTGGGAGTTTCGACAATGACTTAGTTATGTTGATATACTCACAATATGATTATAAACAATTTTGTTGACACTAAAACATGCTAGAAATGCATTTCAATCACAACTTAAAAAAAGGATACAAAATAGCTAAACCAAAGGAATGGACAAAAAGGAGAGTGAAACTGAGACAACTTACGACAAGGGGTCTGAGAGAACACTTCTTAATGAAGGTTGCTTATTCAAATTGTTTCGAACTCCCTGGGAATCCACAATTCATAATAAGGATTTCTAACAAGAATTGTAGCCAAAATATGAAGTTCAAAATGCAACTGCATGCAACAAAACTAACGTAGGTTCATTCAAAAAGGGAAAACTGTTGTGTAACCAGTAAAATGTTTTCACCAAACTCAGGACCAAATAAAAAATGTAAACGAAATTCACTTTCAATCAACCACCATATCCACCATGTGTTGAAACTTCGCCCAATAAAAAAGCTGACCAAAGTTGAATATTGATTTTCTAAATAAGAGAGAAGCAACTCAACATGGTACAGAATAATTTTATACATTAAATCAACTTTCAAATTCTTCAAAGGACATGTTTAAACACATTATGGTATAGAAGGTTATTCACCATAAATTTGTTTTCTGTATTCTACTTTTGCACCTGAGAATCATCGCATGAAATGCAAATTACGCAACAAGTCAGGACTTACACAAGTATTATCAGTACGATTGCACACTACATCTTCTTCAGCAGAGAGTTCATCCGTAAACTGGCTAACAGATATTGGTACATAGCTCTGTGGAATTACATGACCAGCAGCTGCAACTGGAGAGCAGTCCAATATAGCATTTCCTTGTGGCATGAACCTAAATGCAAGTGATGTCCTGATACCAAGTGCTGAAAAGGGTTACTCGCTGAAGTCAAGAAGTGCAAGTTGAATAACTTTGCTACAACAGTAGAAGCAGCAAAGCATGAACAAAACATGACTACATGTTACCTGCCACCATTATTAATCCCAGAAAGGTACTCAGGAGCAGCTCCATAGGAGGCAGCAGGACGGACACCGGCAGTGGAATGGCTAAGTGTCTTGCCAGTAATAAGCAACACATCCCCAGGAGCTAATCCAGCATCTGCTAGGTACCAACGACCGTTGGGGTCACAAACCTAAGGCATAAAACATTTAACGGATACACCCCAAAAGGATCATATAACCAAACACCCCAAACAAAATATGCATACATGTGTATGCAAGTACATTTTCTCTACTTATACATGCTTTTGTGTTTATGCAAGAAAATATATATGCACAGTACCATATTCAGAAAATATTTGATTATGAGAATCACTAAATCAAAGAATCATTTTTTCTTCTGCCAATAGAGAAAAATAAAGAGACCTGTAGACCAGGACCGTCTGAAGAAATCAATGTCAATAACCCCTTCTCAACTTCAGCAGTTGTTCCTGGCTTCCCTCCACCAAAAGCCCCCTTTCCATTTTGCAAAGAAATGTGAGAGTAGGTTGCAACAAGCACTGATGAAGACACCTCATTAGCAGGTAATGGAGTATCATCAAGTAAATGATTGAAAACGCTGTGTAATGCATAATTAACAATTCAGCATCAATATGAAGGCACTAAGCAGAAAGATAAAAATAAGAAAATCAATATGAGTATAATAATTCACCATCAGCATCACCATCCTTACTCGCTTTGTAAACGCAGGTGCCTTGCTATTGCACATAAAGCAACACGAGCTGCCTTCCCCATGCACCTAAATATATCATCCATGCATGGTGGAGACGAGTCCCAATCTTCCAAAACCCTACCAGAAGAAGATAATGATTAGAAACCAATTGGCCAAAAAGTAAAAAATAATAAATATATTTTTGAGAGAGTAGCAGCAGTTAAGAGATTACAAGTTACGAGCTTCTTCACATGGAAAAGGGTACAACTATTGCGTCAAAACAAGCATTGATAAGCTTCTTTCTTTTCTTTTCTTTTTTTCAATTTGTGTTCTTCTAGATTTTGATAAGCAATCTGATTCATGGTGATATAATAAAACTGCAAAAGGAAAACCATTGCTGAATGCTGTTTCAATAACGATCTTTAGCAATAAACTCGATTGCTTGAGTTGACAAATTATTGGTAAACGGAGCAAAGACAAAGTGACAAACTTCAGCTAACGTAGACATTGAAAGCAATCATTTGAACAGAAACACTAAATTTTCTTCACCAGAGCAGAAAGAAAAAAAAATATAAACATACCTTCCAGCCCTATACATGTAAACCCCACGGCTTCCTTTTCCAACAGTATTTACCCTACTCCGAAAGTACAACCGCGCGGCTTCCAGCGCGCAACGCATCAATGCGGCATCCTCGTTCCCGAACTCAATTACCGCCGCATTATGTCGCATCAAAGAACCCGATAAAGTGTCAACGGCTCTCACATAGGAACCAGAAGGGGCACCATCATAGGGAGAAATATCGGAAAGCCTAACCCTGGCGAGTGGAAGTTGGGCAGTCCCCATGGTTACGATAGGCTCACCGGAAGGATGCGCGGCGGAGATCGGAACGGCAACATGCTCGTGGGGCTGACGTGGGCGGAGAGGGAGAGGGGATTGCGTGGGAGTCGGTGTAGGGGATCTAAGTGAAGCGTCGGAAGTAGGTGGAGGATGAATCGGCGGCGTCGCCTGCTGCGGCTGCTGCATCATCATCGCTGCCATTAATCATCTCTGAAAAAGTGAAATGAAAGGGAGCAGGTTTGAAGTTAGGGTTTTGTGCGAATCATTATTGAGGAATTTGGGGCTTTGATTGAACTGCTACTGGATATGGAGTATCGTATTAAAAAGATAATCAATAAACACATAATAAGTTTATACATTTTGGGCAAATTTGTTGAATTTGAAGGTTCCACATTTAATTTCCTAAATATATTGTCCCTTTTAGATTAAATAAACCAAATAAAATCAAAATAGTGACTTAAGTTTTAGGATAAATTATATTAATGACCACTGAAATTTAATATATTTTCATTTTAGTCTTTAACATTGAAAAACTTTTATTAAACTCAATTCGAAACTTTCATACAAATTATCGAACTATTAAACCATTAAATACAACTGATATTATACATCTATTGTCCATGTATCATTCATTCTAATAAAGATATTATTTTCTAATTTTTTCAATTAAAGATTTTTCAGTTCATTAATTCTTATAAATCTCCTTTTAAGTTAATTTTTTAAAATAAATAAATAAATACATGTTTAAAAAGATATTTTAGATATTTTTAAATAAATATAATCAATTGTACTTGAAAGTATTACAATCAAATATTAAATATTTATTTTAATAAAAATTATAAACACTTAAAATAGAAAATGTATAGAATTAAACCATTATTCTAGAAAGGATAACGGCGGTAGAAAATTCCAAGGAACCCGCTAGCATGTTTGGGAGGGAAAGGCAACGGTGTTGATTAACTGAACGGAAGAAAGATATTAGCTTACACGCTATCTTAAACCCAAACCACATTTCTTGTACTCAACAAAAGTGTCAATGGCCGCCTCTCTCTTTCAATTCCCAATTCATTATTTCGTCTGAGATTTATCCTTCTCAACCCTCTTCACCATCACCAAGTTCCTTCCTTCAACTTCACTTTCACTTCCTTCTTCCATTTAAAGCTTCGGGGATTTCGTAAATCTTTACAGGATATTATGACAAGCTTTGTACCTACTCATTGTTGTAATTTGTCGGTTGGGGTTTCAGAACACGCTTGCAGCCGCAGGGGAAGGTTTCATAAGCCTCCGAGACTGAGATGTTGTGGTCCGTGTTTTCACCTCGGTGGGTTTGGTTTTTCCCTGGGTCAGGGTCAATATTTTGTTGCTAGTACGCCGCGGAGTCGTCTGAGATTTGCTCCGATCTTTTCCAGCGCCGTGGATGATGGGGGAGCTGAATCGGATGATCCCGAGGACGGGAATGATCAGAAAGAATCTTCACAAGGGGAGAATGAAGGAGTACGCTTGATCTTCTCCTTTTTAATTTGTTAAATAAACATTAAATTGAAAAAGGTTGCCATTTTGTTATTGGGATGTCTTTGAGATGAACATAGTCATGTTTATTGAATTGGTGGCATATTGGGGTTGATTTACTAAATGAATTACAGGGTCAATTCCTATACATACATGTACGTGCATACATATACATACATAGTATATATGTATGAATCCTTATTTGAAGTATAAAGATAAGAACACTTGATAGTTGATACTAGGAATTTTCCTGCCACTTGAATTGCTTAATCTGTTACTCATGAAGGTGGGGTAGTGCTCTCTTTGAATATCGGTTTATAAACAGTAAAAATCTGTATTCTTAGGTGGCAATTTGGGGAACCGGGTTAATTTAGTTTTGGGTTGTAAATTGTACGTATGGATGCAAACTAATCGAGCTTAAACGCAAAAAGTTGTGTTTGTATTCCTTTGTTTATTTTAGAAGGTGAACATGTTCGATAAATTTTTAGTATCGCATCCATGTTCACTTATTTACTTTTAAAACTGCTCATGTTGATTTGTTTAGCGCAAATATATTCTTTAACTTTCGACATGTTTGTTTAATGTTTGGCGACCGACACACTCTTTTTATCCTTCTTCAAAGAAAAATGGTAAAATTATGCCACTAGTCCTTAATTTCCTTTGGATTCACAGTTTGAACCATAAAGTTCACCTTATATTTAATTTAGTCCATACATTAACAAATATTTAAAATGAAAAACATAAAAGGAAAAAGAGAATTGAGTAAACGAGCACTTATTCGTGAACATAAACGAACCGAACACACCTCTATTTGTGTTTGTTCGTTTATTAAATGAACATAAATTTCTTGTTGATACTCGTTTATTAGCTTAATAAACGACATAAACGAATGTTGTACGAACAGTTCATCGAACGTTCTGTTCACTTACACCCCTAATTGTATGGTTGCTTCCTTTGTGTCAAGGTCTGATTACATGCTGTTGATTTCTGGATTTGGGTTATTGAACTTTTTAGTTTTTGCTGGTTGGACTGGGTAGCCTCTGTAATTCTATGTCTATTTCGATGGCGTGGAGAAACTGGTTACGTTTTTTATTGGTAATTTTGTGGATTCTTGTTATATCCTTCGTTGGTTTGTTCTTTGTGGACAAGTTCATTTTTCCAGGTTTCTCGTCTTACATTCAAGATCCTAATGCGTGCTGTTATGATCTTTCATTTTGCAATTATCTCAGAAAAACAGTGATATGCTTCGGGAAAACCTTGAACGAATAGTTGGCACGGATGACTCCACCTTTAGTGGCTTAGACCTGGCAACTCTTATAAGGAACAAATATGGCAGGTCCTATGATGTTCAATTGATAAAGAAGGTATGCATTTCTAAACAAGAGGATGGCTTTATCTGCTTATGTTTACTTGTTCTAACTTATAGATTCTTGGATTATCGATGTTACTTTTTGAAATGGTAATTTATGATGAGTTTTCAGTTTTCTAAGCAAAAGTTTGAGACTGTCTTTTCATGTGTAGAATGTAGATGAATCTTGTCAAGGGTGCTTCAGCATGTTGCCCGATTTGTTTAGAATTATCACCTTGATGTCCCTTTTTCTTCATTTGCATTTGAAATTATGACTGAAAATTCGTCACCTTGTCTAATGGGATAAAGAGATCATTTTTATGTCGTTTATATGCAAAAAAAGGAAATAAAAAAAACATGGTTTTACAACTAAAAACTTATAACGATTCATTTCAAGAGCCAAGCTTCAACCGATACTATAAAGTTCTAGTATCAGCTTACGAAAACTGCTTTGTTACTTTAATTATAGGAGGTAAAATGTGTTTAGCACATTCATATTGGTACTAGAAATATGCTTTTTGGCATATTGCAGGACCTGACTATGATTTAAGACTTTCTTATTAAAGAAGACAATAGTCTTGCCCGTCTAGCTCAGTTGGTAGAGCACAAGGCTCTTATCCTTGTGGTCATGGGATCGAGTCCCATTGAGAGTAATTCATAACGGAGGTCTTTCACGAAAATTGCTCTCAACCTGACGTTGGAGGCAACCTACTACCCTACATCCCCCTTACCCTATTACATATGGGAATAAGGTCAACCAATTTTTTATTAAAAAGACAATACAGCTAGTTTCTCCTAAATAGGTGAACTTTAGATCACATCACCATTTTCGTATCTTCAGGGGCTTATCCTATACTTCCATTCAGTATTGTCTTGTGGTGGTTGGATTAATACATTGTTCAGTTGCTAATTTGTGTTTGCGTGAGATTTTTATTGTATCACTTAAGAGTTTACTTTTGCATGCCTTAATGTAGGAGTTCATGGGAAGAAATCTCCTTGCACTGAATGTTATGTGGAAGTACATGGAGCAGGTATTTTGATCTGCAAATTCGTGTCTTGTTTATACACTAATAGCATATTACAAGTATACGAAAAAGCAAGTAGCCTTGGGGGCATTTTTTTTATATAATCATGCATTATGTTCGTGTTCTAAGTTCATCTTACCCTTTTCCTGAAGAGATCATTTCCCTTAACCGAAGAAGAATATCTCCTAAGGCTTGATGATGTGGCGAACACGTTGAGATGTTGGGGAGCAGTCTCGCACATTCGTAACAGCTTGGCAAAGCTGAAAGAGCGCCCTCGAATAGGGAAGGTAAGGCATTGATTCTATACATGGTTATATTGGGATTAGTTTAATGTTAATGAGATGATGCAGGCAGTGAGCATATTTATCGACATGGATGAATCGGGAGGTCGTGCAAATGAATGGATTTACAAATAGTCCAAATCGTTCACCAATCATAGTAATACAACAGCATCATCATCAATATGTATGGAGTTTATGAAAGCTCTACGCCTCGCTTCAATCCATCGCTCTCGATCTCAATTTGTGCACTCCTTATCCCATGCTTAAATTCTTTACTTATTTACTTCTCATCAACAATAATCATCAATGGAGTAAACTCCCTTGCAATTAAACATCATGTTATAAATATATGTATAAAGGAAATAGTGTACTTAAAATATTAAATTTGTTATATATATATGTATAAAGGAAATAGTGTACTTAAAATATTAAATTTTGTGAAACTTCATCACATGTTATGCTTGGTGACAGCGTTTTATCCATTTTCGGTAGGCGGAGAATAGAGGCATTCATTCAATAGCAATTAACCGGACCAGGTTCAACGAAGAACCATCGTTGAACCAGATGAGTCCCTGAAGAGGTACTGAACTTAATATTAGTCAACCCTAAATTTAGATATAACTATAACATCCATATGTAAACTATAATTGATCCAATAAATAAGCGTAAACAATAATTGATCCAATAAATAAGCAATTCATACAATGAAACCCTAAAAAGGAAATTTCAATCACCATAGCCTTCTTCCCGCGGCTACTTTTTCCCCACATTGCCGGGTGGATGGTTTGGAGGCTTCTCTACAGAAGTTAAGCTTTACAGTGGAAACCCAGAGTGATGTTTTCAATTTGCTAGTGAACAACCGGCGAAGCCAGGAAGTGCAAGAAACAGCATTGTGGTTAGAGCAGATTGAACTGAATAAAAATAACCTGTATCTTTTCAGGAGCACCAAGTCCAGCAGCAGAAATATGGGACGCGGCCGGTTCTGCGAATGTAATTGGCTTGCTGCTCGGTTTCTGCAGCTTGTTGGTTTCGCTTGGCTTCTCCTGCTGCACGCTTCTCTTCTGCCTTGTGCCTTGCGGCAGCTAGTTTATTCATGAGCTTATCATGAGCACGGGCCTTCATCATTTCAACCTCAACCTGAAAGCCGAAAATCATCCAATCCGGTATATAAATTTATATCTACTCATTAACAATAGAATTTCTTACCAGTATCTTCAAAAGGTGTGGTTAACAGCAAATTATTAGTTTCGTTCATCCTCAGCATAAAACTAAGCAATAATCACGTTTTTCATTTGCATATACTTAATACTTAAACAAATTATAACGGTTTATGGAACATAGAGGAAAAGAGGACACTGCTATCTTAATCCTATACCGATAGATAATCAGTTGCCTACAGCTTAAGAGCATGGCATAATTGGATTGTTTAACGTGTAAGTCAAGCTTGACTTGACTCTTCAAACCTAATTAATGTCCATAGTTTGAACTTTGAATCCATATCATCTCCTCCTCTGAATGTTATTTCAACCCTATGCTGTTCTAATACAAGTACCAGAATTAACAATTTATGTAAACTTTTCGTCATGCTCAATATAAACACGAGAAGTAAAATAAATCGAAAAAGAAAACTATCTCCAAGATGTATGGAGAAAGACTATGACTATTAGTTTTATGACTTGCAATAGGTAATACATAAATAACAAAGTGACAAAAAATAAATAAATTAAACGCTCTAATACCTCGATCTTCTTCATCTCAGCTTCAGTTTTAGCTTTTCGATGGCTCTCCCATGCTTGAATTTTCATTCCCTCACGTTTGAACCTGGATAATTGCCTCATAACTTTACAATTCAAGTTCCAGATGGAGTTTTAACTAAAATAAACTACCAATGCATAAGTGGTATGCAGATTTTTGTATATGAATCAATTACCCATACACTTAAGTGTTAATATTCTAAAAACAAAAGAAATCCCATAAAAAATCCAACAGAGAAGTATCTATAGAAACGTAGCATCAATATTGCAGCTTAATAAAATAACAGAAAGATTCAAAAATAAAGAGAAAAAAAATGCATTGACAAATTATTTAGAAAGAAAATACCTGGCCATATACTTGGCTTTCTCTGCTTCCTCCCATGCTGCTGCACGGGTTTCAAGGACATTTTTAGATGTATGTTCTGGTGCTATAGTTTTCAGAGAGGTGGATGCATCCTTATCCTCCTCCTCCTTGCTAGCCCATGCAGCTATGTTTGTTTTACCCAGCTGGGCCCCAAGAACCATAATTTCTCTCCTTGTTTTCATCTGGAGCTCCTTCTCCGAGAACTCCATGTTCAAACCCAAGTGATCTTTCCCTGAATTTTCTGGAGATGCAGATGGCACAGCTCTGCTGGGAGTTGATGGCCTGGATGAATTTGGGCTCCGAATTGGTGTGGTTGACCGCACAGGAGTTCCTGTCCTCGAAGGTTCTTGGCTAGCAATAGGAGTCATTTCTGTGCCCATATCTCTCATGGATACTGATCTAGCTGTTGAAGGAGGGGGAATAAACGTCGTAGCACTATGTATTGATATTGATGAATCATGCCGGCTAAGACTAACTGCAAGGAAATCAATAATTAATTTCTATGTACATCGCAATTTACTAGGAAGCTTCATGTTAGACACATTTAACGCGTAGAAGTTGAGTCATTTCATTCAAATAGCATTACTGCAAGTTCACCATGTCTGCTCTTTTTGTGAAATTTTCCAAGTTCACTCATTTTCTGAAGCTGCTCGCGGTCTTAAAATATGGAGACTAAAGATCTAAAAGACTAATGTACTTGCTCTCTAAACTTCTTTGAAAAGAAACATCTTAAGCTAGTAGAAAGGCTGGAAATTACATTTTGGATCCACTTTTCTATGTGAAACCGAAAAAGGGAAAATGGCTTGCCAATCCCTGTAAGCTCGTATTGACATTAAAAGGGTCAGAGCTGAGATTGTTGCTCTTGTAAGTTGTGACAGAAAAAACAAAACTTCACATTTACTTGAAAATATAAAAACTAACCACAAAAAGTTGACCAAAGAGGAACATAATACTTCTAATACTATCAGTAAGACAGTAACATGAAGGAACTTCCTGTTTATGCACAAAAGACTCAAACAGAAGGCCCCCCTCAAATGATATAGGTTTCAATCAGCCAAATATTCATCACTGCATGATTTATTCGGTACAACACAAAATGTCCAAATTTTAACATGATTTGTGCTCAAAAGGGGCTAATTTCTTCAATTAAAAGCATGAGTGGGCTTGATATGAATATAAAGGCTAATTCTTGTAACAGAAACGTGCAAATTTAACTAAGACTAATTTGAACATAAAGTAAATCCTTACTAGCTGACTCTGCAACAGAATTCTCAATCAATAGTACAGGCTTCCCATATGAATCCACACCCGGGTATGGATCACTCTCCCAATTCACAAACTTCTTGGCATGGTTTGTATCAATCCTTTTCGTATCCGGTTCTTCAAAAGGAACCATCCTTTGATCTGGAACTTCAAGAACCACCTTAGTAGACGACTGTTTCCCATGACCAAAATTACCCCCTTTTCTTGATCCCACCCCTTGGCCCTGTCCTGTTTTTGGCCGATTCGCAGTAGGACTAGCTATCCATTTCTGAGCATCATCCCATTTAGATGGAGCCGGCTTAGAAAACGGACCAAGGGGAACCCTTTGTGGTGCCCGTTCAGTCTTCTGAAACTCAAAGATCGATGAGGACACATTCATATTGTCATGTCCACTATCGTAATCTAAACCAGGATGATCCTCGATGAACCGGTTTCGAGTAGTGCCTAAAGAATGTTCCTTTGATCTTCGGTCGCTACCATTCTGCAAAGCAGCTATGGAATCTGCAGTTGTGGAAGTGGAACATTCTGGAAGAACACTCACCACATCTACATCTTTGCAACTATCAGAACCACTTTTCCCTGCACAAAAATAAAATTAAAAATAAAAATCAACAGTTTTCACACACTTTTCATTCTCTTCAACTTCTCCTTTTTTTTTTGCCGAATCTATTTTCATATGCATCAAATGAAAAAATACATCAAAAAAGCAATGAATAAAATTGGAAAAATACCTGAATCATCATCAAGGTGAGAAAGTTGAGATCTTAAATCTATTGAAGATTCAACTTGTTCTTCTTCTTGTTTTCTTTTCTTTTCTATTCCTAATAGCATAGTCCTTAGCTTAGCTGGGGAAAATCCACCTCCGCCCTACGCAATTTCACAAACACAGATTTGAAAAAAAAATTCTTCAGTCATAAATAGATTTGAGCAACCAATCAACAAATCAAAATTTGAAAAATGAAATTGAAATCTCCACTTTCTTTCTGGCTAGCTGTCTCACTTTACCAAAAATAACAAAGAAGCAAAGCACTGGACGAAGAGAAAAGCCATAAAAAAAGGAGATTTGCGAGAAGCATATGTACCTGAGGCTTTTGGATTCTTTCGTAATCCATGGAAACGATAATCGATTTGCTTTCAATCTAATACTCCAAAAAAAAACTCAAAAGAAGAAGCAGCAGCAGCTAGAATCACTGAACTGGTAGCATTGCAGCTGTTATCATGAGTACAATGCTTGTTGCTTGAGAGAGAACCGTGCCGTCAGAGGATATGGAGTCATATGTCTCGCTTTCGCCCTATAAACTGACGAATTTCGTCAGAAATGAAGGAAAGTAAAAAAGAAACATTTTTATATAATAATTAGTTTGCTTTTGAGTTTCATTTGTGAACTTTGGATGCCATGGACAAGGGATCAGAGGAAGAAAGTGACAAAAATGATAAATTTTAAAATATCTAGAAAAATATTTTTACCATTTTCTGGATAATTATCCTTGGATACCCGTCTCTGACAATAGTTTTGTTTTTAACTAGGAATATAAACTGTTTTAATTTTGTGAAATCATTAAATTTGAATTAAAATATAGTTTTACGCGCCTGTTCCGAAATTTATTTTATGAAAATTTTGTTAATAGAAACTAAATTTGAAAAATATTATAAATATTAATAAAATTATATAGCATAATAAAAATTAATTTTAACAATTATGATTATTGTTCTATCTAAAATAATACTGTAATAATAAAATTTTTGAAAATATGTTATTTTTAAACGAATAGTCTTTATTTAATACATTATACTTAAATTATTATGCACGAACCAACTTACATTACTGATTAATAGAATCGTTATTTTTAGAGGTCTTAGATTAAGAGTACTTAAAACAGATATTACTTTGTAATCAACTTTAATTTAATTAAGAAAATTCTTAAATTAGTATAAAAATAATATTATTTAAATAATCATCAGTCTTAATAATAATTATTAAAAAAAAGAATTTTTTTCGGATATATATTTAAACGAAGATGGAGAATTGGAGATGATTGTCTCTTTTCATCACTTTTGAACGAAAATCTAGTCAAACACACTTCTATTTGACCGTAGGAAGTTGCTTAAGAGACGAGTCTGTCATTTTCAGTAAACAACAGTCCAATTAAAACATTACTTGTATCCTTTCTATTATCTTTGTATTTAAACAACTTGATATTATTTAAGTATGTCTTGAAGTGTCCTTGTTATGCAGAAAATTTTCATTGTAAAATTTACCCACCAAAATTAAGTGTATAACCCAGATCGATCCAAATTATAATATAGCTTACAAAAACATAGTTTACGAAAATAAAGCAACCTAAACTAAATTATAATATAAAATAATTTAATTAAAATGCAATACATTTAGAAACGGATTAGTTTTACTTTTAACAAATAAATCATTAAAATAAATATGATAGTTATAATTATTTATAGAGATAAAAAAAAACAATCGGTAAATTGATAGGGGAAAAAATCCAGATTACATCTTTCATCTAAGATTAAATTAGACTTAAATTTTACCTAAAAATGATTAAATTAATTAAAGAAATAAAAAACAATCGGTAAATTTATAAAAAAAAATCCAGATTATATCTTTCATCTAAAATTACTTAAGTGGGAATGAAATTAAACCTTATATTACGCATGAACGTAATTCAAGATTGTAGTTTACTTGCAATGTGAGATTTTAACATAAATCAAAAATTATAATTTCATATTGGAATTTATAATTACGCTTTGCAACCTTAGGTACACAAATATTATAATATCATCAAACTATAGTCTGATTAATCCTAATCAAATATTAAATAAATTTATTATAGATATGCTCTCTTATACCAATTAATTATATACAAACGTTCTTTAGGAGATCTACTTTATATACTAAATCAATTAGTTATTGTTAATATTATAGGAATCATATAATATTTTTTTACACTAACAATATTTTTAAGCAAATACGTCGTTGCTCACCATGTCATAAAAACTTTTCCTCCTAATATTATGTAAAAAGTCAACATGTGACAATAAATCCGAGACTAAGGGAGTATTGAAAATCAGTAAATTCTACAAATGCCTAGTTTCCCAAGAAAAGCTATTTCTACGTTCTTGATTTTTCCTTGTACTTGATGAAGATCTTCCAAAATCACCGGCAGAGCTTCTGCTTTTAGCATCAGTGTGTTTCTCTCCCTCTTGATTCATCGCCGATTTTTGCTTCCTCAACAAATCCTCGGTGCATCGGCGCCATAGTGTTTCCCTCTCTTTTCTCGGCATTTTGTTATATCTCGGATCCGGCTTCAGATGATGTTTGGCTGTTGACCATGAATTCAAGACTGTTTTACCACCTTCTGTCTCTTGAGCAGCTGCATCTTGAGTTATGACTTCGGCTAATAGAGCTCTGAAGTCGTTCGAACATCTCTACCAAAGGACAAATCAAAGGGTTATGTCATACAAGATTGACTAATACGCATAAATCCCTTAAACAAAGTCTCATACATTCGTTTCTTCGACTAGTAAACAAAGAGAACACTCATAGAGCACAAATGTAGAACATATATTACTTGGCGGTGATCGTAAATGGGAGTGGAGGGATTGAACGAGTGTTGAAACTTAAAAGCCAAAACCATATTGATATCACGTAGACGAAAAATTACCTCGAAAAGCATCTTTATGTGTTCACGGAAGAGCTTCTCCATATCGGATGAATCCAAATCAGGGTTCACTGCACGTCCCTGAGGATCCTTTTCCAACTTAGGTTTTGATTCAGTCCAAGATGCCTAGAAAGATTAATAAAAGAAAGACATCAACAGCTTGACAGATGCATATTTCCAATGAGCCAACACCAGGCAGAAAAGAATTTCTGTCTCAAAACATGTTAAGAAGCTTGAAAACCCTAATTAGTGGATATTTTTCTAGTTTAGCAGTCATAACAGAAACAAGAACATATGGGTGACGATATGAAATTTTTGAAAAAATGTTTAAAAACAAGGAAACAAAAGCAAGTGTGATTTCCACAGAACTCGTATGAAACTAAAGAAATGATTAAAACAACAGTTGTTTTAGAGAAACGTATATACCTGGGGATCTTTAATTGTTTCCACAAGCAAAGCTTGAAAAGATGCAACTGCCTCCTTCCTGCGAACTTTTAGTCGCACCCTTTCCATTTCCTGTTCTTCTCTCTCTTTCCTTTTCCGCAACTCCCGCTTTCTTTCCTTTAGTTTCTCCTGTAAATGATTACCAAAAGGGGATTGGCAATGACATAATTATGCTCTCAAATTGCCTAAAGTTGCAAAAAAGGCATAAAAAGTACAGCTTTCTTCTACATATAACGGATCTATCATTTAGGAAGCTTCTGGGATGAGTTCTAATCTCCTTTGTCCAACTTGTTTAAGTAAAAAATTGTTACAATAATTTGAGAAGGGCCATATGTTCCGCTGACACATCAAACAATTCCTGAAAGATATTTTAAGCTATGCTTGGAAAAGGGTTTGAAACGTGTAAAGAGAAGAGAGTTTGAATCAAGGGAATATGGCATGCAACAAGTAGAATTCGCAAAGCTAATATAATCTTCGAACATCTCAAAAACCTTTTATTCATTTTTTTTGTTGCTCAGCTATTTCATAGCTATGCATCCTCATATAGAGCATACACAATCAAACTGCACTTGCTAGACTGTACAACCATAAATACGACTAAACAATCTATAACAAAAAACCACAAGCAAATACTAACAGAGCCAGAAACATGAGATTATGCATGCATATGCGAAGGATGTGGCTGAGAGAAGTGAAGAAAGATTTACAGAAGTAGAAAAAGAAACGAAAATATGATGGTCATTGGAAGTCGTTAGAAGGTAGCAAAGGCCTCAACAGCTTTAGGAAACGGATAAAAGTGGAACTTGGGAATGGTCCGCCAAGGGCAGGTAGGTTTTTAAGTTAGTTTATCTCATCTCTTTGTCCATTTTAATGATAATGCGTCTATCAGGAATGGTCCACCAATAGTTAGAAGTTCTTTATGAGATTTTATCTCACCCCTTCATCCAGTGTAAGAACATGTGCCTCGTGTGTAATTATGAAATGTCGCTGCTAAGTACATCTTTTCACAAGCATGGCCATAAAACAGCCACTAAAAATAACTTTAGTAACAAGTCAATTTTATCAACTTTAGCTGAAAGAAAATTTAGATATTGGAATGCAAAGATCCTTGGCAAATAGTCTCTTCAAAGAAATTTCCAAGCCATACTCTCAATATTTTATATATCACACTGCTATACACAACATCTATGAAGCACATAAAGAACCAAATTTGTTAGCAAATGGCAGAAAAGTTCTGAAGCAACAAGAACTAATGTGTTGTGGGATTACAATGAAGTTTAGCAAGCGCAATCAATAACATCAGAACAAACTTATAATAATAGTTTATTTCGAGAAAAGAAGAGAGAGAGGGAGAAGAAGAGAGTGTGTGAGAGAGAAAATCTATACCTCCTCCTCCTTTCTCACTTTCTCCTTTCGCTCTGATTTCTCTTCTATGGCTTTGAGTTCATATATGTACTCGTTAAACAAAACCTCTCGATCCTCATGCTTAACAGATTTATACCTAGGATCATTCCTCAAGCTATCCTTCACCTGAAACAACAAAAAGAAACGGTAAGAAAATAGGTCATATTTTTTATCATATTCATTAAATAGAATACGAACCAACACTCTATATTTTACATGCTTGCAAACTTGCAAACACAAGCAACCCCATGAAGGTCCTAAACCTCCCAAAAAAAGAATGATCTGACTGATAAATTCCCATTGATAAGGCAAAATATATGCAAGATGCCAAATGTTTGAGGAACATACACTCCAAAAGGTAAGGAAAAAACCAATAACCAAAAGTCCTAATTTAAATTGCACATACCCTGGACCAACGGGAATTAATAATGATATCTCCCTTCTCTTTAAGCATGGATTTAAAACTAGAAGCAGCAACAGCACGTATAGCTCGAGCCTTTTCTTCAGCAGCCCTCTTCAAGAGAATAACCCTGAGGCAGAAGCAGAGACATTTCTTAACCAGTTCGATAACAGTACAGGGAAAGAATTAGGCAATTACCATTCAAACCAAAAGAGATAAAGGGCTAAAGGACATGCCCAAATTGAATCTTAGAATCTGGTCTCTAGCCTACTACCTGCTGACAAATGCTGCTTTCAATGTTATCATTAGAACACCTCCTGTGTCTAGAGACAATCGAACAAGTTCAACATAAATTTAAACAAGAATTGGAATCAAAGCATACCATATGCGACTATAATAGCACAACACATGTTGCACGCGAAGATCAACACAACAAACTGGATATGATCAACATATTTAACTAGGACATTTATCATACTTCTAAACAAAATGAAGGCACAAGGTAAAGAAAGAAAAGAATGTTGTATTCTAATAACTCTATCAAAGGGGGAAAAAGCTAATAGTAAAGGCTAAAAGCGGAATAGTTGAGTAGTTCTTTCACATTGGTGCTATAGACTGTTTTATATGGTGAAATAAAAAAATTAACAAATTACTAAAGACTATAATCCATTAAAAACTCATGAAGACCCAAGCACTAATTTCTTTGAACATTATGCAATTGTAGGAGCATCTTGGCTACTATAACCAATTAGCCGGAACATGTGATGGTACAACCAGGTAAAGCAGCACAAAATAAAAGAGAAAGAAAAAACCCAACCTTCTGCATAAACCATAAAGATCAGACACTAAAGAAAAATAATGATTATGATTCTATCCTAGTAAAAGCACCTTTCATTTAATAGAACCTCCCGATCTTTACGGTCTAAAGCCTCAAACCGTGGATCACTCCCCCATTTTCTTTTGAAAGACTGATAATTGGTGTCATGGTCAATATCCTGTAGATTAAAAAAAGCAGCTATTAAAAATCTACAGTTCAATTTAAAAGCAAGATTTTCAACATATGTAACAAAAATTGATATTGAATTATGGACAATTAAAGACACCTCTGATGCTTCATCCAGCAACTTCTTAAATCCCTCTATTGCAGCTTTCTGAGCTGCTCGTTTTTCCCTGCGTTCCTCCTCGGCACGTGTCTTAACATAGTGTTCAAACAAGGACCTCCTAGCAGAATGAGTTGGAATAGCCTGCAACACAATGCACTTTAAGAAATTAAAACTCAATAGTATGACTTCATAATGAAGCACATAAAAGAGAAAAACTAAATTTGTTACCAACTCAGTGAGAATGCAACAAAGAGAAGCCATATGTTAATTACTTATTAACAGAGAAGGTCTCTTCATTTGCATACTTAGGCCATCATTTTGTAATAATTAGGCAGTTTTATTCCTTTTTTTCACTTAAAAAAAGAAAAAGAAAATAATAGATAATATTTAGCCTCCACAAACCTTAAAACGTGGATCAAACACAATCTTTGGAAGTTCCTTTTCCCATTTTGAGAATGGTGCAACTCCCCGTTCTTTGAGCATTTCCTGTGAATTTCACTTGCACGATAAACAATTCACTCCCGCTACAAGACTGGGTAGCAGCAATAGAACCAAGGATAACCAAATTTAAGAATATTTAACAAAATATGGCACCATAGATACCTTAAATTGCATAATACACTCTTCCTTAGAAGGCCCAGTGTCTACACCCTCAGAATCTGAAGAGGAATCAGATATGTTACCATCGCCATTGACATCTTTTAGCTTATCTTTGTTGTTCTCGCTCTGCAAGCCCTTGACATCAACTGCTTTTGAACCATTTAATTCATGTGCCGCTGATACTGACGTAACCGGAACAGTTGAGGAAGAAGGAACTCCAGAGTCTTGCAACTTCTTCTTAATTAAATCCAGTGCAGATGAGGAACCAGGCACCACTGAGGTTCTTAAAGGAATGGCATCACGGCCACCCGTGTTAACAGCAGGAGCACTCAAACTCATTGGAGTAGATCCTTTTTCTGCCACTACATCAGTAGTTGGTATTGATGGTGCAAGCTCCTTTGATACTTCACTATCTTGTTTCTTTCTCAACTCTGTTACTTCACTAGGGATCTGCCAGCTACTAATCTGATAGATAAAAATATCATGAAAAGTGGGAAAATATCAATAACTGGGAAATATAAATAAGTTGAACGAGCATAACAGTGTTAACCATTTCCAATATTTGTTTCCTTGAAAGTTCACTTGAATCCTAAAAGGTGATTGTAAAACTAGCCTTATAAGCATGAAGACAATGTAAAACCTGGGATACACATCATCAGAAGCAAAACTGATATAAAAGGAATACAGCACATAAAATTTATTATCTGCTCCTCTGAAATTGCACAAGGCTTGATGAACGTGGCAATTTACACATAAGGCAACTACATTAGTTATTATGTTTCGTCTTCAGGCAGCAAAGCAATTTACTGTTAAAACAATTAATAATTAATCCAAATAAAGTTCCTCTTATTAAAGGCTAACTGGCTATGGAACTGGTGTTTCTTTCATATGACATTTATAGAAATAGATTGAACAACCAGACAAGGTTCCTACAGAACTTGTCATTGTTGATTGCACATTTGTATTTCCTTTACTCTTTAAGGTTCAGGAACAACACTCTATTCTTCCCAATTGTGGCCATAGACTACTAGCTCTTTCTCTTGAGCAGTTAAACTCCTAAACCAGCAACATTTTTCAAAAGTACATGGACATGGGAATATGACCTCCAAGATCCTTCAAATATATGGAAAAACTTAGAAAAATTTAACCATAACCAAGTCGGATACATACCTATGTCCAACGGTTACACCCAACCCGAGTCCAAGTAACATAATCCCTTATAGTTTCACTTCTAACCCACTTAATTCCAGGCACAGCTCATTCATATCCTACAAGTGAATGTGTTTTCTACCTACTTAGGAGTGCACAGAAAAAATACATACAACGCAGAACATGTCATTGTTCTATTAACTGGGGGGGGGAAATTCAAACATACAATACAGTTAAACAAGACCATTTGGAGTAAAACATACTAGAGATATTAAATTAGACATACTACCTTGGTTTTGCTGTTGTAGTAATATTTTTTGCCATCATTTGTGGTAACTAGTGACCAATCTGTTCCTGCCATTTGCTCGCTATAAAAAAGAGACATGACATTTAAGATGAAAATCTACAAAGAATGACACATTCTCAATACAGTAAAATGATATCCAAAGCACAAAGGGTAGACCGCAATATAGTGTTTTAAATAATTATAAGATTTTTTATACAATGATGTCCAATTTGGAAACACTGATTCGTAATATTTCAAAAGAATTCTAGAATAACATAATATTCTCATAAATTTCAAAAGAACAAGAAACATAAAATGTAACTTGCCTTAGGGAATATTTTAAACAATTTCTAGAAATGTTAGAAAAATATTAAAATATAACTTCTTCTATTTCCAATTTTACAGTCATTTTCAGGAAATATTTAAATTATAGTGACTTATTATATTTCCAAATTTACATTTAATTTTAGGAAATATTTACAAATCATTCAACAAAAACGGAAAATAAATGATTTTTTTCAGCTTTTATTTATTATTTTGCATTTTTATGGTGCTCTGAAGGAAATTCAGGGTTCATTTTCTCCCTAACAACCAAGTAATTAACTATATATCCCATTCGGCAATGTCAATATTACAGTGATGACTGCTGAGATAGGCCACATAGCAACTTCTGGAGGTGAAAGTAAATAACTTACACAGAAACTGGAGTTGGCTGCACAGTAACTTGATCAGGCTGCGCACAAAGGTGAATGAAAAAAGAAATTATTATTTTGAATTAGCATCTGAGAAGCCACTGGAAAATACGGGTGCCAGGAAAAAATGGTTATAGAAATTTTTCTATGCACAAGAACCATGGAAAACTGTTATTTGACTGCAATATAGCTACCAGTGGAGAGCCAGAAATAATATCATATATTTTCCACATGTACACACAAGTACTAATATGCATATATGCGTAGTTTTATACCACTTAAACAATGTGGAATCTTCAGATTAACTTACAAAGCATCATATGATTAGTGCTTGATACTCCGAATTTTCGGGCTGTTTATGGTAAATGAAATTTCCTATAGCATCCATTAAAGAATGCTAATCAGCCAATATTTGGGAATTTTGTTGAAAATGGTATCAGTCAATTCAAATAGTTGCGATAAAATAAAATGGTGCACCAACAAAGTTACTAATAGAAAACATATCCATGCATATCCACATGTACCTCCCCTTTAAATCCCGCAGGTTTTTCATAAGTCGATACTCCTGTTAATGCATTATAGTAATAAACAACCCCCGTGTCAGTCTTGTGGGCAGTCCAGACATCAGATTGTTCATTGACAGCAGTTTCAGCTTTGGTGCCAACGTCATGGACAAGTTTCCTATTATCTGCAGAACACCATGAAATACGAATGAAGAAAAAATTAACTTCACGGTGCATTGATAAAGGTTAGACAGCTCTTACATTGTTAGTTGATCAGTAATCTAGCATGGAAACCCTGAGCGTACCAATTCCTTGAAGTAATCCTTTCTGGATTGCCAATGACTGGTTAGCAGGAGCAATTGTAGATGGTGCAAACAGACTCATTCCCAAAGGTCTAACACCAGGAGGTTGAGAATCAGATGATGGTGCAGGAAGAGGCATACCACTTGAAGTTGAAGGAAAGGGTCCAGGATAAAAAGTAGGGCAAGGCATGAACGGAAGCCTGGGAAAGGCACCCATTGGAGGATGTTGCATCCAAAATCCCTGAGGAGAAGAAACCATCGGAGGTAAGGATGTATAGGCAGGGTATGCTTGTTGCTGAGCAGCTGGATTTAATGAAAAGGGGGCATTGGGTCCAGGAACTGCAGAAGAGGGAGAATCTGTAGCAGCAGAATCAGTAATCATCTGAGCAGATGGTACTAACCCAGGGTGTGCTGGTGCCCCTGAAGATCCACTAGACATGGGGAATGATAGAGTGGTGGACATCCATGAAGTTACAGGGGGAAAATTGGGAGTGGTAGATGCATTCATTGTAAAATCTGAAGAGTTATGGACTGGCAATGGGTCAGGTTGAGAAACAGTTAATGCAGATGATACAGAAGCAGTTTGTGTACCAGTGGTTAGTGTATCCTGTAATCAGCAAAAAGTTCAACTTGTAAGACAATGGCATACAAAAAACTCCATATGAACTTCATTCCACAGATGCATAAGCAATTGCTAGACATCATTCTGCAAGCAGTGGATTACTATGGCTAGAGATTGCACGGAATTCCAAAGGCCACATAGGAACCATGTTAGGAAGTAACAATCTAATATCAACTATGGCAATAACTGCATTCAGAATCCATTCAGTGAAATCTGATGACAACAGATGGAGCTTAAAATTGAGGCATACTGTTAAACTAAGGCACCATCAAAAGATAATTTTGTAGGTCTATACCGGATTGTCTGTTGTGCTGTAACATGCTCCACTGTCCACATATTCAATTTTTAGGATGTTACAATTGCTCAGTATACAGTCAAGAACATTTTTAAAAACAAATACACAACCCCTTCCCTTGCCCAAGCACAAAAATTCTCAATTTACTATAGTACTTTAAATTCAGCAAAATTCAAAGTTATAAATGCCTCCTCCTCCCTCTTCAAAAGTATTAATCTTGTAGAATTAAATTCCGTGTTTTATATTATTTCCATGCATAGAGTTGTATCCCCCCCTACACACACACAAATACAATTATTCTTGATGCCGCAAAACTTCATATAAGAAAGCTACAAACAATCCAAACTTACTGAAAGTCCTGCCAGCTGTAGGTCAAAAATAAATAAGCATTGCAACTTTTGATAACCTAAGCTGAGTACAACGAAGTGAAATTAAAATTCAGTACTTTTATCATTGTCTTACAGATTTAGATAGATGGTTTTGAGCATTCTGAACCGACTGAGGATTTGGAGAAAAAGAAAAGCTAGCGGAACTCGACAAGGCTCCTTGCGGCACTGGTAAAGGAGGCTGCATTACTGGTGAAAAATCTGTAGGAAGAATTTGAACGATGATAGAAGCAAAGATACCTGGATGAGCAACAAGAGGAATATGATCGCATATGGTAGAAGCGCATAAAACAACTAAAATGGAACTAAAGAGATAGAACTATATCCACAATCAATCAAGAAATCAGAATAACTAGACTGCGTGATTGTTCACCGAATCTTTTTTTCCTTTGGAACAATAAGTTTGAACATTGATCAAAACAATTCCAGGGAAAGGACTTACCTTACGAGATTCTAAGACTACCGAGAGACCTTCATTCGAATCCGTCTAGGTAGCAAAACAAGGAGGAAGAGAGATGATGGCTTTAGTCAAGGTCCGAATCGATTATTAGGGTTTGGGCTTTTGGGATTAATCAAGTACAAACAAAAGGATTTGAAAGAAAAAGAAAAAGAGATATTAAACAAAAATATACTTAAAAGTCCTTCAAGTATGTAAAAATATATTTTCTTGCTAGTCATCTTTTAAATATTACAAAATAATTATTTAATTTTTTTAAAGAGCAACACTCTTTTTAACCAATTAATAAATTCATGAAGTATATAATTTTAAAATAACAAATTATATAAATATATCATTAATCAAATTTAATTTAATCAATATCGTTATTACTGTAATATATATGAGAATATAAAATAAATACATTTAAATATTAAGAATTATTGAATATATAAAGAAATTTTAATTATAAATTGTTTTCTTTAAAATTTTCAAATTCTAATAGTTGTGATTGCAAGATATATATATATTATTAGTGATAAAAAATTATTTTGAACATATATTACTTTCTAATCATATTATATTATTAATTTTTTTAAAAATATATATAAATAATTCAAATAATGTATTTTCATTTTGTTTTTTTAGGGGGAAAAATGGCAAACACAAATCACACAAACCAAACCATGTCCATTAAAGTTATGTTTTGTGTATGTGACATAAGGAAACACATCACCACTCATCTCTTGTTGCAACTTCTCGCTTTCCCCCCCCTTCCCTTCTCTTCTCCAACTTCGATTATAAGGGTGTGTTTGGTTCACGGAATGTAAGATTATCAGTAGGAATAAAAGATTACCAGAGAATAGAATTACTGAGAATGTTGTATTTTTTGTTTGGTTAGTTTAGCAAGAATGTAAGATTATTGTGTTTGGTTAAAGGAATAAAAGATTATTAGAATGTATATTTAATCAAATTGTCCTTATTATATATTTGTTTTTAACAAGTTGAAAAATATTTATATATCTTCTTTTAAAAAATCAAATTCATAAAATTTATATAATTTTTTTACAAAATTGAAAAATATAAAAAGATTTAATAAAATGATAAAATTTTATTTTAACCCCTGAACTTTATATAAAATTTTAATTATAGTTTTTTTTAAATATAAAATAGTTTAAGAATAAATTTGTAATTTAACCTTCGTAGAATTTTTATTATCCAATGAAAGAAGAATGATATTTTTGAAAAAAAAATAAGGGCATTTTAATCCAAAATATCGATAATATAACAATACCTAAAGAAATGGGAGTAATGACATTCCTGATAATATACTAAAAAAAATTCACTATTAATAATAAAACATTACCGAAAATGAGATTATCGGAAATTTCACATTTCCCTTACCAAACCGCCCTAATTGTTTTTTGTTTTGTTGTAATTCCTCTTTTTTCCATTAAATTCTCTTTTTTTTAGCTTAGCCAGCTTTCCATGTTTCTTATATAATATAATTTCATCCCCTTATATCCCGATCTCTTCGTTGGCGGCTCATCATCCTCTTTCCCTTATCGCATCATCTTAAGTCCGTCTTTTATTTCATTATTTGAAATATTCAATCTAATAAAGGAAGGATATTTTCTTCTGTCACCTTTGTGGGGGATTTTTTCTTGAAGAATCCGCCATGGTTGCGGCTACGCCAAAACAACAACCGAAGCCGCCTACGGCGGCGATGACGGTGACGCTGGCTGGGGCTACAAAATCATCAGCAGAAGAAGAGGCTTTGAAGAGGAATACAGATTGCGTTTACTTTCTCGCTTCCCCTTTAACCTGCAAAAAGGTTTTCTTTTTCCCATTTTCTGTTAGGGTCTGAAACAAGATCTTATATTTTCTGGGATCTTGCTTTTGTACTTCGATTAGGGTTTCGGATTTAAATTCCACCCTCCCCTTTTTATTTGCTGCTTGTTCAGTTATTTTTTAGACGTTGAATTGAAAATAAATAAATATAACCGGAAAAGTGAACTTTTTTGTTTGTGTTTTGAGCTGTGTAGAGATTAGATCTTGCTGATTTATCTTAGTTTCCTAGTGCTAAAGCCCTGGTGAATTCATCTCGAAATTTAGGGCATTCTTTCCTTGATGATCCTTCTGGATATACCAAATAAAAGTATTGCCTTTTCTCCAAAGGGCTGGCATGTGTATTTTTTTTTCTTTGCTGAATTATCTTTAGCTTGGCGGCTTGGGCCTTGGGGGCATTGATTTTGTACCGTGTGCATTTGATCTGCAGCTTTTGCAACTTTAATTTACTCGTCTAAAAGATGGGGAAATATTGATGTTCCTTATAATAAACTCTTTGTAATTGTTAAAAATATTGCAGGATCCGTTGTTTTCTCATTGTGATGCACTTATTCTGTTATCTATGATGGAATGTTTTGATGCATCGTTGCTAATATCGTCACTCCGAGACTGTTTCTGTTGGCGTCTGACTGCAGTTTCAATTTTAACCTTCGGGAACTATTTTGTTGTCTCTTTGGATTAGTTTTGAAGTTCATGTTTTGCCATTCGTGAAGTTTGCTTTTGGTACGATTCTTCATCTATTTTGTTTATCCATGGAGCCAGCTGTTTTAGATGGCATCAGGTTGTCTTATAATTTACTTCATTAATTGTAAGACGCTGTGAGCATAATTAATGTGCTTCTATGTACTTTTTGACGTCAATGACCGTTACCATAACTAATATTTGTTTTATTTTCAATATCCATAGGGAAGTGAATGCGAGTATCGTCACAGTGAATATGCCCGGGTTAACCCAAGGGATTGTTATTACTGGTTGAATGGGAACTGCTTGAACCCAAAATGTGCATTTCGGCATCCTGTAAGTTTCTACTCTTCTCTTGTACCTATATTATAATCTCTGTGCCTTGTCAGTCTTGCAGTTTTCAGTGGGATCCTTCTTGCCACTATTAGTTTCAAAAGTGAAGTTTGAAAAATTGTCCGACAATCAAATTTGAATGTTTGGACCAACTCACATGGTGAATGGACAGAAAAAACATAAAATGAAAAAAAATGTTTTGATAAGATTATATTTTATTACTTCTCCTTAAAATATTCCAACTTCTCTTTTATATTTAAAAAATGACTATAAATACTTTGAATATTTATTTTAATAAAGTTATATATTCAGCTATTTCACCCATATTGTGATATATTTGGACTGGTTTTGATAATGTTCTTGCTATTTTGATGTTGTTTCAGCCTCTTGATGGCTTGTTGGGAACCCAAACGACAACTCCAGCAGGTTCTTCCAAGCCTTTGTTGCACGCAGCAGCAACTACAGCACCTGCTAGTCATATGCCTTACAACCAGGCGGCTTCTTACAGCACCAACAAACAACCGGTGCCATGTATTTTCTTCCTCAAAGGACTTTGCATTAAAGGCGACAGATGTGCTTTTTTGCATAGTCCAATCACAAGTAATAAAGCCACACAACCAGTGGCAACTACCACCGTGAGTGAGCCTCATTCTTTGAAGAAGACTTTTGGTGCCATTGAAGCACCTAATCCACAGAAGTTTCCTCCAACTAATGTTTCAAATACTGTTGGAATAGCTTCTGAAAATAGAACTGCTGCAAAAAATAAAGCTTCTTTCACTAATAGTGGTACTGGAACTGAGAAAAGTGTGTCACCTACAATAGATGAGGAACTTTCTCTACACAAAGCAACAAAAACTACTTCAGTTGTTAATGGTAACTCTATGGGTTATTCTAATCACTTGCATCAGGCCCATGCTTTAGATGAATCTAGTTTTCATGGTGGTAAGGACACTGATGAATATTTGAGGGAGTCTTCTCCTGGTTTTGATGTTCTTGTGGATGATGACCTGAGGGGTGTGAATGAATGTGGCATTGGCCGCTCTGCTAATTATGATTCCTTGGCTGATGTTGACCAAGAAATGTTTCAGGATCCACGGAGCTACGATTCATTTGACCATGTTCAAGGGAATTATGATTGGGACCAACAAAGAACTTCATCTGAGAAGATACCTCTAGGATCATCTACTTCAGAGAGAAGGGGTTGCTTAAGAGTTGATAGCCCTGATCGGGTTGAGGAATCAGACCTTCGACATCGTTTGGCTAAGCGTAGGAGGGTTAATGGTATGAAATCTGTTGTCAATCATGATCAAGGACTAGAAAATTATGAAGGGGAACGAAGTTATCGGGGTTCTTCTCATGAGAGATCCCTTAGCAGTCGTCTTCAGGGTAGAATAAAGCTTCCTGAGAGATCTGTTGGCCTTGGATCTGATTTACGTTCTGAAAGGGAGATAGAAAGAGGGCGAAATCGGGGACGGCACTCACCAGGAAAGCCTCAAACCTCTTCCCAAGGAAGGCTCCACGACAGAATAAAAGGAAGGGTGGAAGGAGAATTCAACAATTTTGAAGGTCAAAATTTTGGTGGCCCGAGGATTAGAAGAGAAGTGATGGATGAGCGGAGCACTGATTTTGCAGGTCCAAAAAGTCTTGCAGAGCTGAAAGTTGGGAAGGGCACTGATAATAAGGAGCCCCAGTTTCTCAGAAAGCGAAAGAGCGTAGGAGATCATCAACAAACTGAAGGTGATCTCTCATTCAAAGGGCCAATGCCTCTTAGTGAGATTCTGAAGAGAAAGAGACAATCTGAAGGTGCAGCTTCTGGGAATGGTATTGCATCTGTAAATAAAGAAGATGATAAACAAAAACAAAGCAAGGGAAGCTTGATTAGCATGTCCAATAACAAAGAAGCATCAGTGACACTGAAAGAGGCAAACAAAGGGGAAGAATCCAACCCCACAACTGCAGATATCAGAATAACGGAAGTCAATAAAGGTGAATCCTCTCAACCACTCAACACGAGTGAGCATGAGCATGAGGCCGAGGATGGGATCATTGGAGATGAGGGAGTAGAAGATCATGAATACGTGGCAGATGACCAAAGGGATGAAGATTATTACTACGAGCAGGTAGATGAAGGGGAATATAATAATTACGAGGGTGAAAACATGGACGTCGAAGAGGAGGAAGCTGGCGACGACTTTGCAAAGAAACTCGGTGTCATGTTTTCATGAGCAGATGGTCCCTCAGACTGCTTTAAGCGTTTTCCCCTATGATAATCTTGGTTTTATGGAAGACCTTTGGAAACTCATTTAGGTTTTTGCTTCTTTAAGATCAATTAAGAGTTAGGGCAGCTATATTGGAATTTCATTGTAGAAGTAGAGAAAACATTAAGTTTTGTTCCCCTACCTCAATGTATTTAAAAGCCGACTTCCTGCTTTGCTCGATAGGCATCTTTATTTCAAGATATCGCATATAGTAGACTTAAATGACAGAATTAGTTTTAAAATATTATTAAATATTTAACCATGATAATTTAAAATTTTATGTGATTAATAAAAATTGACTTCGAAATAGATAAAGTAAAATACCTATGTAAAAAAAGATATATGTCGGGAGATAAATCGGTTCGATTTGAGTCATTTTTTAAGTAATACTAAATGGAGGAAAATAAAATCTTCAAACAAAACTAACGAAATTGAATCGGTTGGAGAAAGATTTGGTCTAATTATTTGATTAGTCCTTGTATTATGTATATGCTATAGATTTATTTTTATATTTTAATTTAATTATTTTAGTCTTTATATAAATTTGAAAGTTCAGCTATGATTAAAGATGGTTACGGGTCAGATTAGATTATCTTTTTATGTCCATTCGAACCCGAAACGAGCATAACACTCTTACATTTGTCACCCAACTCGAGTCAGATTTAAAAAAGTTTCATTTGAAATTCGACCACATTTTTAATGTAAAAATCTGCACCTACACTTGACACGACATATATATATATAAGTGTCATTTAATTAGGTAAATAAGAATCTATCTAAAAATACAGATATAGGAGTATTATAAACAACTTTCTTTAAATATATAAAGATCAGGTATACTCCTATTCTCGGATCAGATGTTTTTCATTTTAAATTTTTTTCATTTTAAATTTAAATTTAACTCGACTTTAAATAGAGACCTAATTAAAAAAGTAAAGATAGAAGGGTATTATTATTCTCGAGTCAGGGCGACGTATTTTATCCTAAACTAGAATCCGACATGACTATATCGTTCAACAAACTTAATATAACCTGACTTAAATTTAAATATTTTTTAAAAGAACCTATCGTACAAGATCAAATCTAAACCCGTGAGGTTGAAGATAAGTATGCATATCTAATTATGATGATTTTCATTAAATCTATTAAGTCTTATTTTATTAATGGATCTCTTTATTACATATAAATTATAAATATATATTTTATTATCTAATTCAATTATTTTAAATATTTAAAATGTAATTATATTTTATAAATCTTATTCTTATATTATTTAAATATAAAATAAAATTTTATAATTAAAATATTCAAATTAGAATTTATGGACTAATTTGACATTTAGTAATGACTCCCGGGAGAATTTGACCACTCTTGAAATCAAATCCGACTCTCATAAAACAGTGAATAGATTCTGTAACGAATTCTCCAACCTCCCGAACCACTATGGAAATGTTTACGTGCGACATCTTTAATATATAGTTAAAAAAAGACGTTATCGATTTTATTATTATTTAAATAATAAAATTAATAAAAATGATCGAAAATATTATTATTTCTACATGCTTTGTTATTATTGGGCGTTTTACCGGATTTGGTAAAATACTACCGATTTTATTAGTTTTTCTACTGGTTTTGTTATTGTTAGACACTTTTATCAGAAATATTAAAAATATTGGTGTTTTAAGTAAAAATACTAATGTTTTAGGTAAAAAAATTTACCGATTTTATTATTTAAATAATAACAAAACCGATAGAACCTTATTTTTTCCTTATATTAAGGTGTCACACTGTAAAACTTTTCAAATTCCCGCTGCTTTGTGATAGTGCTTCTTTCTGAACAAAATGGAAAAAGAAAAAGAAAAAAGTCCTTGTACTTTTTTTTGGAGGGGAGGGAATTAACAACTCAAAAAATATACTAATGTGATCATTTAACCGATAACTTTTATTGTTAACCGTTATGATACTAATGTGACAATTCACAGTGCTGACATGACAATTCACAATACTGATGTAACAGTCCACAATGGCTTATTTATTTATTTTAACAATGGACTAAATTGATTTTTTTGATCTTATTTGAGGGCCAAAATGAATATATAATTTATAAATTACTAAAAATATTCAAATATTCAATAAGTTAAATATTAAAATATTAAAAATAAAAAATAAATTACTAAAAAAATAAATATATAATTTAAAAATACTGAAAATATTATTAAAAATTAAAAGAATTTAAATTATATCATAAGCTATAAAATGATAACTTATAAATTATTAAAAATTAATTTTTTTAAAATATATATATTATATACATATAACATATAATCATATCATCAACACTTATACAAAGTATTCTTACTGGATTAGACGAGACTTACAAATTTTATATTTAAATATAATTAGAAAAAATAATAGACTTTTTGTATCAATACACACATTTACTCATACTTCGAACAATTCTACGTATTATTCGTAAATCCTTACACATCATCTAATAATCTAGTATATAAGGTGATGCTTAAAAATTATTTGAAATATGATTAGATTTGTATATTGACATGAGTAACTTTCGATGTTTCTTAGTTATATTTAGATACTAGTCATAGTACTTTGTATAAATGTTGATGATAGTACTTTGTATAAGTGTTGATGATATAGTTATATTTAGATACTAGTCATAGTACTTTGTATAAATGTTGATGATAGTACTTTGTATAAGTGTTGATGATACGACTATTTGTTAGATGTATATATTGTGATCTGAAAAAAAAAGAGGTATTCACTGGTGTAGTTGGAAGGCATTATGTGATCTGAAAGAGGCAGGGGGATTGGGATTCAGAGATTTGGCTAAATTCAACATTGTGCTCTTAGCCAAACAAGGTTGGAGGCTCTTAACCAACCCGTCATCTCTTGTTGGAAGAATCCTCCGAGCAAAGTACTATCCCAATGGAGATTTTCTAGGCTCCAAAATAGGCTCAACCCTCGTGTGCAAAGAGTGTATTAGAGAAAGACTACCGATGGAAAGTGGGTTCGGGAATTGCTATTTCCGTTTGGAACGATTTTTGGCTCTGTGGACGCTCTCCTCGCAGAATTATTTCTCCTCACGCGGGCACAATAGATAAGGTATCCGATCTTATTGACTCGGAAACAAGGACTTGGAGGAAAGATCTTATTGCCATTATTTTCAATGACGAGGAAGCTGAATTAATCAAGGATATCCCAATTTCGAGATTTGAACAAGAAATTGTCGTGTGTGATGTGGCAAACGAACGGGTCTCTATAATGTTCTAAGTGGTTATAGATTACTTTTAATCGAGGAAGATGACTCCCTGCCGTCGAAAGCTCTTTTCAATAGAATCTGGACTGGTGCGAGTCAACGAAATATAAAGTTGCAGGTGTGGAAGTTTTATCCAAAATTCCGTTCCAGTAAAACAAAACCTTTACATGAAACGATTAGTAAATGACCCCTTCTGTTTAGTTTGTACAAATACTGTGGAGTCTAATGTGCATGTGATTAGAGACTGCCTTTTGGCAAAATCAGTTGGAGAGGCTTGAATATTCAGTGGCCAGGACAAATAAATACAGCAGATTTCAGAGGCTGGTTCGAATGGATTTTATTCCATAACCGTGGAAAGAGCTTCGATTATTCTAGTGTGTGTATGGGCATGGGCATTGTGGTACGCCAGAAATAGACTCATCCGTGCAGGATATCGCATGAGTTCAGATGATATCATTACCTTGGTGCATACTCAATGCCGGGATTTCGACACAACAAACGCGCGCCTGCAAGCCTCTTCCCCTTCCCTCATCGTTCATTGGCAGCCACCAACTCCCCCATTAGTAAAGGTAAACTTCGATGCCCGTTTCTCACAAGCACAAAAAGTCGCATGGTCAGGGGTAGTAATTCGAAACTATGAAGGCAAAATACTAGGAGCTTGTAGAAGGGTAACGACTAGAAGTACCTCAGCGTTTGCAGCGGAGGAACAATCGGCTCTTCATGCAGTCGAGTTCGCCTCTGATTTGGGTTTTAGGGTTGTGATTATAGAAGGAGATTCTCGAACCGTCATTGAAAAATTAGTTGCGGGGGGTGCTGATTCTTCTGAAATCAGCACCTTCATCTGGGAAGCAAAGTGCCGAGCAGTCTCTTTTCAGGCCTGCCGTTTTAATTTTACACCCAGATCTGGTAATGTTGCAGCCCATCGCCCGGCAGCTGATGACAGTCTTGGAGCGGTGGATCGTTATTGGGTTTAGGAAGGTTCTCGGTGTCTTGAAGAGCAAGTGGCAGAGGATACTAGATGGATAGATCCTCCTTAGTGACTCAACCTTCACTCGTCCGTGTCTGGTGCTAAAGGTTCCCACTCAATTTGTTTTGTTTTCTCTCTCTGCTGTGCTATTAACGTTTCATTCCAAGAAGTTTCAGAGAAGAAGAAAGGCCAACCTCATTTCCCTACTTTACTTTTTGTTTTTCTATTTTTTAGCTGATTTTTTAACTGCTTATTTAGTTCCCGAGGTGATTAGCTGTCTATTACTTTTTTTTTCCGACTTTACTGCCGTTTTGATTTTCCTTATTAATAAAGAGTTGAAGTTTCAAGTTAAAAAAATAATATATATATATATATAGTTTTTATTTTTAGTATTTTTATATTTAATTTTTGAATATTTTTATATTTAGAATTTTAAATTTAAAATAATTTTTATTTTTTTTAAATTAAATAAATTCCTGAACTTTAAAAAAATCAAATCGGTATATATTGGTACCTCAACCTTTTTCAAGGTACAATTTGGTATTTACAGTTGCTTTAGTCTAAGCGGGTACATGAACTTACCTTTAAGGCACAGTTTAGTACCTAAAGATTTTTCAGAAATTTGAAATTGATTATAAGATTCAAAGCAATGCTTATTTTTTTTTTATCTAATTAGGCATTTGGACTTAAATTAATTCAATTTGGTAGTTCAATTTTATTTTTTATACAAATTAATACTTACCATAATAATTTAAACTTAAAAAATCAAGTTCATGTATATAATTAGACAAAAAAATTAATTATCAAACTGAATCTTGAAACCAAATTTAACTAACTAATTAGGTAGAAAATTAAGTATTAAACTGAATCATATATATTATATGTTATTTGCTTGTATTTATTTTATAATGACAAATACTTTATTTTTATGTCC